TCACCCCCTCCCCAGGCGCCGCTGCCGCTGCGGGCACCTCCGCGCGAGGAGCAGAAACGAGATGCCCAAGTCAGGGGAAGGGAGAAGCCGTTACATAACTAGCAGAAGGGAAATCTGCTTCACACGGTTTTCATGAGCAACTGAAAACTCCCGGAGGGGCGGGTGGAGAGGAGGGTCTGCATGCCCGGGCGCGGAGAAACCCAGTCAGTTACTGCGGGCATTTCACAGCCTCGCACAGCCGGGGCCAAGACGGGAGGCGCGATTAACTGGCAGGGGCGCCGGCATGTACCGTTGGGGAAAGCCCATTGTCTTTGTGGAAAGCTGTATCCTTGTTCTGAGAGAGTGAGAGAGAGAGAGAGAGAGAGAGAATGAGGAGGAGGAAAAGGAAAAGTGAGGACGAGAGAGAGAGAGAGAGAGAGAGAATGAGGAGGAGGAGGAAAAGGAAAAGTGAGGGGTGGGGGAGAAACGGGCAGAGGATGGAAACAATAACTCCCAACTGTTTCCCATCAGCATAACCAGAGGTGTGATATGACGGCTACAAGCTCTCTCTAAAAGTCAATGAATTATTGGGGGGGGGCGCCTGCAGATCAAATGAGATGTCATGGCATTTAGGGAGTTGGGTGAGTCCGCTGCCTTGCTCTCTCCTGGGTATGTTTTTATTTGCACGGAGACTTGGAGGTTGGGTTCGTTTGGACAGACATGGCGTTAGGATTCCCAAACCCCAAGAAGCCTGGGGGCGATCCACAGGTACATCTCTTGTGTCAGGCTCAATATGGAGAGACTCTGGGAGGAGGCGTATTTTAATAGGAACAGCCACACAGAAACAGGGTGAGGTTCATGGAGAACCAGAATACCAGAATTTTCCAAAGAATCCCGCCTCCACTCCTATAAAAGGAAGGGGTGGGGAGAACCTCGTGTTGGGGAGCTGGAGATTTATTGTATGTTTGGAGTGTCTCCTGCCTGCTTTTATCCAAAGTCAGGCGGTCCGAGGGAGCCCCCACAAAACAGGGTGCAATGCCAGCCACATCCCTGCCAGCACCCTTACCCACCTGCCTTTCCCCTGCTGAAACCCGGAGCTCCGGGTGCCCAGGAGCTGCTGAGAGGAGAGGGGGGCTTGCTACAGTCCAGGCTGAGCTAACTAAGCTTCGCCCATTTTGCCTGGAGAGAGAGAGCTCGAGTCTCCATGGCGACTCAGGTGGGAGGGGAGAAGGCAAAAAAAAAAAAAAAAAAAAAAAAGATTGGACAAAACTTTCCCAGCTCCAGGCAAAGAAGTAAACCAGCCACGTGCCCTGCGGAGGGTCCTAGGGCACCGGCTCTTCCTAGCTTCCTTGCCGGCGACCCTCGAGGGGGCACCTGGAACCCAGCGGGTGCCCAGCGAACCTCCCAACGTGGCCCGGAGGCTGAGATGGTCAGGGCCCGGTTCCGGTTTCAGCACCAAGGCCAGAGCACAGTGCCCGGTCCCACCTCGCGGGCTGCAGCCCCAGCCAGGGAAGTGTTAGCTCTGGAACCCAGCGGGTGCCCAGCGAACCTCCCAACGTGGCCCGGAGGCTGAGATGGTCAGGGCCCCGGTTCCGGTTTCAGCACCAAGGCCAGAGCACAGTGCCCGGTCCCACCTCCGGGCTGCAGCCCCAGCCAGGGAAGTGTTAGCTCCTTAGGTGGAGCGCAGTCACTTTCTCCAAAGGACTGACTCCCTTGCCCGGGCAGAATCAGAAGAGCTGATCCTCTACGGGATTGCGTGGGACAGAGAGGCTGCAAATCATCCATTTCACGCATGGCGGTGCATCAGAGTAGCTGTTCAAAACCAAGAACCCTGATACAGCCAGAGATCCGAGATGAGCTGAGAATGAGAAAGATCCGGTCCTTAAAGGAGAAAAGGGACACAGGCACACACACGCGCGCACACACAAGCGCACACATGCACACACATGCACACACACGCACACACCAAAGCTCAGTCCCTGAGGACAATTTTCTCGGTTCAACCTTTGGCTTCAAAAGCATCCATTCATCCTTCACTCCCTGGCTCTTCTAACTCGGGGGGGATGGGGGGGTGCAAAGGGGTGCAGATAGTAGAAAGGCGCTTGTGGGAACATCCTGGTCTGTGAGACACCAGCCAAGTCCTGTCTAGGGGTCCTGAGACCCCCTCAGGAGAGTGGAGACATAGTTCACTCTTAGTCAGGACCTGGCGGACTCCCAGGCAGTGCTGGTGAGCCCCAGGAAATGGAAGGTGTGTTAGTGAGATGCGACCAGGTGACTGTCTTCAAGCCAGTGTGTGAGCAGCGTGGCTAAGTGTATGAGGTTGTGGGCCTAGGAAACAGAGGGCAGGACTCCCTTTTCTTAGTAGAAACAAGGAAGAAACTGCAAGAGGGGGCAGGTTATGATCACCCGGGGTCCATTTCCACCTCCTCCAGGGAACACAGGTAAGTCCCTCTCGCATGCTGCCCTCACCTTGGGCAAGGCTGGTCTCTGCCCTGCTCTCCGCGTCTTTGGTAGTAGTTCCTGGTCCTCCCACCCCCCAAAGTGATGCTGATGAGGAAATTGGTAGGGAAGGTGACAGCCGTGTTTCGAGTAGGAAGTTGTTGCAGGTGGCATTGAGGTGTCACGGGCACGGTTTGAAGTGCAGAGCCCAGGCAAGGTCTGGCAGCTGGTTGGAAGTGCTAATGAAGCCTCCAGAATGTGCTGGCTGCTTTTCTCTTTTGAGGATGCCCTTATGCGGTGTGGTCTTGAGCTGGTTCTGGCTGGTTGCTTTTGAAGGTAAACAAGACAGATCCTGGTTTTTCTTGCTGGTCGTGCCGTTGCTTTCCGACGACGATGTACGCAGAGCACTGGGGACCTGGTTAAAGCAGCGTGTTTATACCTTCGAGCCCTTTGCAGGGGAGGGAGGGTCTTTTTTTTTTTTTCATGGTGGCTGGTGAAGGCGGAAGCAATCTAGCAACTACTGCAAACCTGGGCGAAGGATGAGCTGTCACACTGCTTCTTCCATTTAGTGTCTGATGGGTACTGGCAAGTTTATCTCTGGTTTAATGTATGAAAAGTGCTGCTCGAGAGAAGCGCTGCGGAGTGTTATGACTTAGAGCAGCTGTGCCCTGGCGTTGTTCCATCTGATACTGTCAGCAGCAGGCAAGTAGAGATCACTCAGGAAGATAAAGCCATGCGAGGATATGGGTTATTAAATAAACAAAGCAATGTACGGGTGAGTTCTAAAGTTCTGTTTCTCTGATGAATTAAAAAATAAAGATGAGAATGTAAATGATCTAGGATATGACATTGCCCGATCAATAACCCTTCGTTCTGGTAGAGCGCGGGCCCATGTGTTCAGTGCTAATCTACCAAACTATGACTTGCTTTCTTCCTCGGCGGTTAATTGCTGAGCAAAGTGCCGTTATGTTCTCATGACAGTCAATACACGCTCCGAAACCATTGTCTGCCCATTCCAGTCAGATCTGTTACGGAGAACAACTTAAAATGTATCCCTGTGCGCTCAGAGCCATTTTGTCATTTTTTTTTAGAAATGTAATACTGCGCCCTGGTATTTCATAAACACCAGTACATAACATATCCGCTGGTATGGCCCAGGTCTTTATTTACTGCATCGGCTGTTTCTGTGAATATACACAAGTGCTTGAATTTGCTCTCATGTTCCTCTCTGTCTTCTCACAAACTATCTCTGCTTTTCAGGATGAAAAGAAAGTAAGACACGAGAATAGCTGTTTAATAATCAATAGGAAAAAAATCATTGGAGATTAAAAATAAGTAAATGTAGCCTTATGGTAGCTTAACCCCATTCACTGGTTTTCACAAGTAGAAAGTATTACTTTCCTCAAGAGTAGAATGTTGATCATGTGAAGCTTCATGAAAACAAGATAAACCTCCTCAACCAACATGAGCAGGTGGGCAGGACAAAGCGCTTCTTCTTTTCACTAATTTTTCCTGCATCAAATGATCTGTACATTACATGTAGATTAATAAAGGAAATGTACCAGCAAGAGGCAGGCTAGGGGGGAGGGCGGAAATTAGGGGAAAGCAGCTATTTATTTTTACCCAATTTAAATTGAAGATATTTTTCAAAGCAGGCCTTTTTTCTTTTAATTCATTGTATCAGAACTTGAAGGTTGGTGACATTGAGATGTTTAAATTGAACAAATTTGGATTTCTAGCTTGTTAAGATGGCACTTATTCTTTCTTTCCTTTATTTTCAATAATGTTATTTAGGTCCCAAAGAGAATTGGTTCATCTGGATTTTTACAAAATTCTTACATTTTATTCATTAATATCAATAAAAGGGGAATTGGTAGTTAAGTTCAAAAATCACCGAGACACTTTTGTTGAATTAAGGCTTTATTTTTAGTTGTAGTTAAAGTGTTTAGGGGGATAGAAAAATAAAATGAAGCCATTTGGGATAAAAATATTTATTAAATGCATTTTAAATAATTAGTTCTAGAAAGAATTAGGGTCCTGTGGAGAGAAGTTGTCATCATAATTGCAGTCCATGCTCTACTGGTATTCTGCCCCTCGTCTGAGAAAACACTATACGCTCCACATATCGGTATCATTTGACTACCTCTAGTTAATAACACAAAGTTATTTTCCTCAAACAAAGAAGGACCATGTCATCCTAAAAAGAATGTTCATATCCCCTAACCTGTAGCCTTGATCAGTCTCACATTTCACATTTCCTCTCCACGGCTGTGCTTAGGACCGGGGACCTACAGTACATCTATATCATACTGGTAGTTCTTTTAGTGATTAGATTTTGACTAGTATTCACCGGTCATACTCCCAGTCAAAGGGATGTGGTTTCTGCTATGAAAACTTTACAAAATGAGCCAGCGAGTGAATCTACGGATAAAAAGACCCACGCCCTCGCCAACAGTTGTTTTGTGGGACTAAATCAGAGCATGTTCTGTGCAACGTGA